ATGCCCAGTGACCTAACTGCCCACTTCGCCCAACCTCTGATTGATAGGTCCCACCACTTCCGTAGCACCACGGGCTAGGAACCAAGTCTTCAACACATGGAACTTTGGGAGATGACTACCATAGTTTCCCTACTTTACAATGGTATGAAAATAATGTGCATTTGATAGAAACCAGACTTTAAATTTTGAATTTGAATCTCTCAGACTGGGGATATAGCTCAGTTGGGAGAGTGCTTGCCTCACATGCATAAGGCCCTGGGTTCAATCCCCAGCACCACAAAAAAATAAAGAATTTGAATTTCTTCCTAGGCTCGAAATAATTTCTTCCTAGGCTCTCACACTGCTAGGTAACAGCATAAACCCCAGCTCCCAGTCCTATGATCAGGAGGGGAAACAACCAGTACCACTCCGTGTTGCCTAAAATAGGATGTTTGGCAGCTAAGGCACATTAAATGCATTTCTGATGTATATTTTCAGGTAGGTAGGTTTATTGGGACATAACCCCATCATAAGTCAGAGAATATCTGTTTACCAAAAAATGCAAAAGAAAGACACTGGATACAAAAATCAGAGAAGAAAGAGACCAAGAAAACAAGTAACTGCTTTTTATTTATTTATTTAAAGAGARAGAATGTTTTAATATTTATTTTTTAGTTTTCGGCGGACACAACATCTTTGTTTGTATGTGGTGCTGAGGCTTGAACCCAGGCCACACGCATGCCAGGCGAGCGCGCTACCGCTTGAGCAACATCCCAGCCCCTGCTTTTTATTTTTTATTTTTGGTTCAGGGGATTGAATCCAGGGCCTTGTGCATGCAAAGTACACACTCTACCACCAAGCTAAACTCCCAGCCCCTGTAACTGAATATTTTTTTAAATTTCAATAGAAATTTGGAACCAAAATTCTAAACAATTTCTTTTGATTTACCATCCCAYCCCAAAAGAGGATGGTGAGTGCAGGCTCCTTATGATGGTCCCTGTAAACTGAAGAGAATCCTGATYCAGGATTCCAGATTTCTGGGGTTTTCCACCCAGCAATGCTGCCCAAGGAGTAGATCAGCTGAACATGAAGTAGAACATGAAGATGTGCCATGACATGAGCACAGACCCAAAGCCACCTGTTTATGTCAGTCATCTTTACCTCCTAACTGCACACAACTCATTGTAGGGCTTACCTTGCTCCCTCCTAACGCAGCTCTCTCTGCGAAATCCAGTCCCTCTTAAAATTCTTTCTGATATTTCACCTCAATTTGCTGACCTAACCATTTAATGTTTTTAAGCAATAGATTCTCCCTCTGATTTCCCACTCGTATGAGTTGGGATTAGGTGAGTAAAAGAAAACACAAAACAATGTGCACACGTCAATGGATTTCTCCCCTGGTAAACATCTGTAGCAGCAGGCCAGGGACTGTGGTGCTCCCTGCGCCAGGTGCCCATGTGCCCAGCAGCCTCAAGGTGCACATGTGGGGCCCACAGATTACATGCCCACTGTCTCTGGGCCTAAGCCCATCTTTTCACACTCTGGTGCTGGAAGATCTGGAACTYGGAGAACTACATTTCTCAGGCTCTTTAGACAGCTGCTTCCTCCTGGGTTCTCCCAATGGGAAGTGCTAGATGGAGATAGGGAGGACCTTACTTCCCAAGAAGCAGGGGCAGCCAGATACCTACAGTACCTCCAGGTTCTGCACTCGCAGCAGCAGGAACCCCTGCCCCCTCACAGGAACCCCTGACAGCTGAAGCACCAGCTGAACCAGCTCCCTCCTGACAGGCCAAGCCCCTGAGCCACCTGGGCACTGAGCCTCCTTTGGAAGTCCAAGTCCCTGCCAGGTAAACCTACCTACCTGAAAATATACATCAGAAATATACCCATGGRGCACACTCCAGGTTCTAGTCTACCCTTGCTTGCTCCTCTCTGCTTCCTACATTGCGTTTCTGTGCTATTTCAGTGGCCCTTTTTCCTTCCTACACCTCTGCAACCAATTTTCTAATGTGGTGCTGGGCTTGAACCCAGGCTTTTAGACATGGCAGGCAAGCACTCTATGACCAATGTCTTACATTCAAACCCCTGTGTTTGGACTTAAGAGTGGTATGCTTTTTTCCAGACTGGGTCCTCCTACTGAGTTGGTAGTACTTGTTACCACATTCCCAAGACACAAATACAAGCATTCTCTAATATACTCTATATTTTGCTTATATCACCTGATTTTTCCAGTAGACTATAAGCTCCATGGGGGAAAAATTGTTTGTCCCTTTTGTTCTCTGTAGTATCCCCAGTGCCTAAAACAGTGAGTGACACAGAACAGGCATGTGTATTATCAGCCACAGTCCAGAGAAAACCCATGTTTCAGAAAACAACATATGCACAGGGAGACAGAAACAGGGCTGTTTTTAGCCACAAATAACAGAAAACATAACTCACAGTAGTTTGAACAAATAGGAATTTATTTTTAAAAAAATTTTTTCACATAAAAACCCAGCAGTTGGCAGTCTAGGGCTGGGGCAGCATCTCAACCAAATCAAGAACCCACTGTCTACCAGCTCCACATGCTTCACCTCTGCCCTCATGGTTATAGGCACCCTCAGGGGTCTCCTCCACATTCCAGGCAAGAAGATGATTGGGACAAATGGCCACACCAGCTGCTTTTTTTTTTTTTTTGTACCAGGGATTGAACTCAGGGGCACTTGGCTACTGAGCCACTTCCCCAGCCCTTTTTTGTATTTGATTTAGAGACAGGGTCTCATTGAGTTGCTTAGCACCTCACCATTGCTGAGGCTGGTTTTGAACTCTTGATCCTCCTGTCTCAGCCTCCAAAGCTGCTGGGATTATGGCACAGATCACCATACCCAGCCACACCAGTTTCTTCTTTTTTTCTTTTAAACAAAAGCAATCTGAGACTCCCCTCAGGAGACTTCCACCAGCTTGTCATTAGCCACAGCATTCACATGGCCACCATAGCTGGAAGTCAGCTGAATACTTAGCCTTCTAGCCACCAAACAAGAGGAGAGTGAGGGATGGTGTTAGAAGTGGGTGCTCTGGGAGCCAGCTGAGTATCTGCCATAAGTGTTAGGGAAGGATTAGTCAACCAACGAATGCTGGGACAAGTGGCTGAAGTCAGTGGGGAAAATGGAATCCCTGCCTCACACCATACACAAAAATGAATTCCAAGTAAACGGTTAAGTTTGAAAAGCAAAATTTAACTTTTGGGAAAAACAGTTTTGGGAGAAAGATTAGGAATCCTAAACAATCAAAAGCAGACTATACATCAAATGACATCATTAGAAAAGCAAAAAGCCAAGCATACCAGAAATGTATTTCTGCAAAGCTTATTACCAGAGAGAGGATCATAACCAGAGAATTCCTATGTATCAAAGGGGGTCAAAAAGAAAAAAGGTGTCAAAATTAAAGAACCACACAGAGGAAATACACATGACCAAAAAAGCCTCCACAAGACTGCCAAAAACTGAAAACTGACATCAAAAGCTAAGAGGTCAGCAGAGGGCATCTCAGCTGTCACCCATCTCAGCAGGAAGAGAAAGGACACAACCCATTTTGGAGAGCAATGTGGCCTGTCTAGTTAAACTGAAAATGTACAGGAACTACAACTAGCAATTCTTGTATACTTATGGAGGAGGAAACATTCAAGAACATTTGAAGCAACATTGTGTTTAAAAGCAAAAACCTGGAAACCACTTATGTTTATTGATTGCAGAAGGGAGAAACTGGATCCATCCATACCACACAGGACAGTGATGCAGCTGCATTTGGAGCTATGTGTGATCCAAGGTTCACCAGCACCACTGAGTTTTAGAAGTTGAGGCATATATCCATTTGCCACTTAAAGAGTTTTTAAAAAATGCAAAACAATACAATGTATTTAAAGATACATTATCTTCATGGTAACATTTTTAGAAACATAGTAGCAATCAGTTCTTGGAGGAGGAAACAAAGAGGGGTCCAAGTGCGCTGGCCCTCTATTCTCATGTTGCACAGCAAATACATGGATGTTTACCTTGTATATAATGAAATGATTTTTTAAAGCACATGGCATCACACTACTCTGTGTGAAAATGCAGATGTGAGAACAGTCAAACTTTCTAAGAACAAACTTTAGATATGAATTTTGCAACAATTAACTTCACAGATACAAACAAAGCTATGCTCCAGTGGAAAAGTGTGYCCACCTAGCAGACCAGCACTACTTTCATATCTGCTCTCAAATCACCAAACACCTGCTGGTGGCTGAGAGTAGACACTCTAGAACCACCCAAATGTGTTTTTAACCTTGTCTCTGTCTCATTCCAGGACTTTCTGAGCCAGAATTGGAGAATGAGCCAGGCTCCAGGTGGCTCTAAAAGCCGAGTACCATATAGTACCAATTTGCCTAAAATTTCAGGAATAGCAGAACCAAAAATTTAAAGTCAAGCACAGTGAGGATGGTGCTAATGATGTAGTTGTAGTAGCTAGGAAGTTCCAAACCTCAGGTCTATATCATGGAAATGTCCACCCGGATGCATCAGAGTGGACACACCCGCTGCCTGATCTGATGCATTTCCAGTGACCACATAGTGTCTTGGAGTGAAATGAATTAATTAATAGACATCCCGCACTTAGAAGAATGATATCTAGTAAGCACTCGATGTTTGCTACTTTTTCAAGTAAAGAAACTTGTTTGGAGAAAAGTGCTCAATAAAATATTTTAATTCTGGGGATCATGACCATTATTCTTAAYTAAGGCTTTGTGATGAGGCTCCTAAACCTTCAAAGGAAACGAAGTGGAATCTCCCAGTCACTGTGAGCCATCTCTGAACACCTACCCTGTGGAAATAGGAGTTTACCACTCAGGAAACGGCAAGGACATGGCTCTAGTTAATTCTCTGCTCTGCAGAATAGGTTCATTGGCTTCTTTACTATCTGTATTTTTTGCAGTAAGAACCTACTTGACAATGTTAACTATAAAAAGCCAGACTGTGACAGGAAGACAGGGTTTTTGTTTTGTGAGACTGAAGACCCAAATGTTACAGAACTGTGTGGGAAAGAGATGAAGAAGAGAGAGAACTGGCAAGGTCTCTCTGGGGTCAGATTTGGACTGGGCAGGGACGCACTGCAGCAGGCCGTGACCTGGGTGGAGGTGACCTGAAGGCTGACACATGGTGATGCTCTCCCTTCAGCAGTAGGCTTCCTTCCACTGTTATCATCTTTGTTCTCTTAAGGAAACCAAAGGAATATGACTGCTGTCCCCAACCTGTCCTCCTGACCCTCCAGGTCAACCCAAACCCCCTAGATTGTCACTGTACCCTCCTACCACTGTCTTGGCCTAGCCTTGAGCCTGGGCTGAGGTCACACCCTCTGCGTAGGRCCCCAAGTCTTCCCTAACCCATTCTTTCATGGGGGCCCTGAAGCACAGGGAGATAGATAGCAAAGGCTGAAAGCTGCAATGCAGTGGCCAGTTGGAAGTTATCAGAAGAAAAAGAAAAGCAAGCCCCTCAGGGCGTCACACGGCTGAGGTTGGCTATTCCACTTTATTTAGCAAATAGTCACACTCTGGGCCCCACCGAGCAGCTCCTCCAGTATCACCTGAGTCTGCCTTGAGAAGCGCAGGGAACAGGAAGGCTCATGTGCCCCACCTGGGCCTTGTCTGCCACCACACACAACACACACCTTAGGACAACACCACTGCTCTGGGTCCTCAGGAGCCACCCCAATGTGGTCTGGGGGCCCCTCCAGTGTTCAACRGCCACCTGTAGGGCCTCAGCTCCGCCCCAGGTACAGAAGCCCCTACTCCTGAGATGCCACCCCAGGGCAAGAGGCTCATCTCCAGCTGTGGAGTTGCTACATCCCAATCCTGGGCCTGCCACCTGTCCCTGCTGGGCAAGAAGCAAAATGTACGAAAATACTTTTAATCATTTCTTTGAAACAGTTAAGAAATAAGGTCGTCTTATTTTCTTTTACAATCCAAGTAAAAAAAAACAGTTCACATTAGCGCCTGGGCCAATATCAGCTTCTTCCTGCCACGCCAGGCGCTCAGTAGAAACGCTTGTTCCGCTCCTGGCGCTTCTGGAACACCACAGCACCCACCACGGCACAGACGATGATGCCCARGAGCGCACACAGCAGCAGCAGGAACACCCTCCACCCTGTCAGGGGCCCGCTGCGGAAGTTCCCTGTGGGGTCGTCCACGTTATCTAGGGAAGAAGAGRGGGGGGGTGAAAAGGCAAAGGGGCAGGGCTGCTGGCTGGGCTCCAGGAAAAGAGACTCACAGGACCACACAGCAGGCCCAGCATAGGGCCACCACACCCACCCCACAAGGGACCTCAGTGAAAACCAGAGACTCCTGGGCTCCCTCTGAAAAGGAGGTACGAGGCCCAGGAATCTATGTGACAAGCCCCAACTCCCCCATGTYGCAGTGTGAGAATCCCCCTCCCCACCGGGAGAAACGGCTCTGACCAAAGGCTGCCCCTACCTGCAGCTCTCAGCGACCTCCCCGGCTGGCTCACAGGTCCTGAGCTACCACCCACACGCTGCAACCCTCTCTAGCCACACCACTCTTCAGCCTGCCAAATGTCAACGGACCCTACTGGGTGCCACACCCTGTCACACTCGGGATCTCAGATTCTGACCACCCTGGAAGGTGGCACCTTTTCAAAACAGAAGATGAGGACTTGGCTGTGACTACAGGCCATGAGTGGAGGGACTGGGATCAGGACTGAGCCTTATGTCTGCCGTTTGGCCTCCACACTGTGGCCCTCCACTTGACACTGGGGTCTGCACAGGCCTTTTCCAACCAGGACTGGGCTCAAGTCGGGCCTTTCTGCTGTGTTTATGCTGCTCATTTGACAAAATGCCAGCTATAAGTCAACCTACAGCCTCCTTCCTGCACAGCCTGACCCCAGGCTAGCCTGCTGACCCCAGCCTCTTTGTCCCTGCACAGTGACAACAATGAACTGAACCAGGGGAGCTTGAGAGAAGTTGCTTTCCTGACAAGCTCCTCAACCTCGGGGCTCCCAGTCCTCCCTGGCGCCTTCTCTGCCTCAGGTGCTAACTGAGCCCCAGGGGCAGGGACTGCTTGATACAGTTGGGCACAGAAGGAAGCTTTGAAACAGCTGCCAAAGGAACAAGTGCATCAACTTCTGAAAACAAGTTAATCCTTGCTTTGCTGGTCACTTGGGGAGGAAAGTACTCAGTAGCCAGTATGATTTTCCTCTAACCAAATGATGGTCTACAGCTGGATTTGTTCCATCTCCAAAATATTTAAAACAATGTGAATCTTTAAAAAATGAGATATTTGTGGGGTGTAGTGGTAGACACCTATAATCCCAATGACTAGGGAGGTTGAGGCAGGAAGATCTCAAGTTTGAAGCCAGCCTAGGCAATTCAGTGAGATCCTGTTCCAAAAAATATACCTTATTCCTCCAACCATGACATTCACTCTATGAAGCAGAATTCGTGCCATGAGAAGAACCTAGGGTTTGGAGTTTTGCAAAAACCCAAGTTCAAATCTTGCCTTACCTCTTTCTGGCTGAGTAAACATGAGGTTTTCAGCCCCTTCAGCCAGCCATAGACTCAATCTCCAAAGTGTTCACAGACTAACAGGCATGCCAAGAGTGCTGACACACTTCCTTCAGGCAGCAAATTGCCGCTTGACCTTTTTTTTTTTTTGGGGGGGGAGGGTAACTGGGGATTGAACTCAGGGGCTCTCGAACACTGAGCCACATCCTCAGTCCCATTTTGTATTTTATTTAGAGACAGGGTCTCRCTGAGTTGCTTAGTGCCTCACTGTTGCTAAGGCTGGCTCTGAACTCGAAATCTTCCTGCTTCAGCCTCCAAAGCCACTGRGATTACAGATGTGTGCCATCACTCCCAGCATACCCCCTTGACTTAATGACCATTGTCCCTAGCCCCCAACACAGAAGGGAGCGGACACTGTGCTCTAGGTGTCCTGATTGGCTGCTGCCGCCTCAATAGAAACCACATGGCGTAGAGGATATCCTCACAGATGGACTGGCTTTCCTGCCTCAATCATTTCCTTAAAGACTCACCAGAGCTGACTGGACCCAAGCTTCTGGCCTCTTAGGAACTCCAGGCAGGACCAGGAGCAAACTCATCAGGGACAGGTCTGATACAAGAGCCCAGAACACAGCCAGAACTGGACCAGGAAGGGCTGAGAGCTCCAAATTCACCTGAGGCCTAGCAGGGACACTGGGTGCACATACCTTTAGGTGACTTGAGGAAGTTGACACCAGGCTCTATCTTGGTCCAGTCGATGTTTTCCTCATCAGGTGTGTGCTCTACCATTAGCTGGAACAGCTTGATAGAGATGATGTCATGATTGTCTGCAGGATCAAAAATGAGCCTGTGATGGCATGGAGCCAGCCTCAGGGCCATGGCCCACAGACCCCTCAAAGAGAAGCTGATGTTCCTGATATGGAGAGTGCTGCTGCTGCCCATGGCTGGGCCTCTTTTCTTCCTAGCTACCTTCAATCCTCCAGGGACTGGGTGTRTTCAGCAAGTACAAGGCCCTCGTTTTAATCTCCAGCACAAAAAAAATAAAGAGAAACCAAGGAAAAAGGAGGGATGGACAGAAAAGAGCATGGGCTTTATATTCAAAATCACATGGGTCTAAACTGCAGGCCTGAGGCCCTCTCTGAGGCTCAGTTTCCTCTTCTGTAAGACAGGAGTGATAATCTCCATCATGGGTGTGGTCACATGGCAAGTAAATGAGCACACATAGATCACAGGAAAGACACAATGTGAGGCAGAGGGTGTGTATTTAAAACAGGGACCAGATCAAGGCTGGCCGAGAAGCTTGATCCTCCCAAGGGCAGGCAGCCAACAGATGCTCCTATCAGAGATCTGTGAAGGATGCAAATGAGAAAGTCAGCATCCAGCTAGGAGCCCAGCTCAACACACAGTTAGCAACTGCACCTGAGGAAACTCAGGAAAGACATGGTCCAACCAGCATGGGCAGAAAAGGACCACCACTCAACACTAACAGCTCTCCCATTTTCGGGGGGTGGGGGCTTGAGTCTCAGAGCCACAATATGACATCCAGCCTGCCTAACTAATTGTAAGCTCAACAGGCTACAATCTGAGGAAAGGCCTTTTATTTAGGGGGGTGGGTACAATACTGGGTATTGAGTCCAGGGGCTCTCTACCACTGAATAACATCCCAACACACACACATACACCTTCCTTTTTTTTTTTTTTCCCCTTGAGAAAAGGTCATGCTAAGTTGCTGTGACTGACCTTGAACTTGTGATCCTCCGGCCTCCGCCTCCCAACTTGATGAGATTCCTGGTATATACCACTGCACCCAGCTAAAAAAGGCCTTTTTTAGAGGGAGAATCTCTGGAGCCATGAGAAGGGAGAACCTATATAGAGCAAGGCCCTGGCAGACAGGTCAGGCAGGGCTGAGTGGCATCTGATAGTCAAGCATGCACGGTCCCTGGAGGCAGCAAATGGCCAAGGAAAGAGAGTAGTTTTGGAGTCAGACTCTAGTTCCCACCTGAGCTCTGCCCCTTCCCATTTCCCATTTGCAATTTTTGGGAAATCCCTCAACTCTGAAATTCCCAGGGTGTTGGTTGTATAAAAAGTGAAAAGACAATTTCCTACTAAAGACTATATTCCAGGATTGCCCGCAGGATGCCAAATATCAACAACCCTCCAACTAATGGCCAGACACTACCACTTTTGGGGCCATCTCCACTACTCTTTACTGAGCTCCTCCAAACAGCCTTGGAGAGCATCCATCTGCCACAGATCTGGTTCTGTTCTCATCAAGAACCACCTGCAAAGTGAGTGCAGTGACATAGACCTACAATTCCAGCTACTTGGGAGGCTGAGGCAGGAGAATCACAAGTTCAAAGTCAGCCTAGGCAACTTAGTGAATCCTATTTCAAATAAATGGATGGGGATGTAGTTTAGTGGCCGAGCACTTGTCTAGCATGTGCAAGACCCTGGGTTTGATCCCCAGATCCACACACATACACACACACAMAMAAAAAACAAACCCCAAAACCTCTGCAGACCCATGCAGAAACAGTGCAAGACAAAATTTCAGGTAACCCAGGGGAGAAGATGGGGTAAAGGTTATGGTGGAGTCATCAATAAAACAAGACTGGTCCTAAGTTAGTAATTACCAAAGCTGGAAGACAGGAACAGGGTGCTTATTAGATCAATATCTCATTTTGGGGGTCTATACTGACACCGCCCTATTATTAAAGTCTAAAGCAGCAGGCACGGTGGTACATGACTATAATCCCAGCCAACTGGGAGGCTGAGGCAAGGACTGCAAATTTGAGGCCAGCAAAAAGGCAACTTAGCAAGACCAAGGGCTTGGAGTATAGTTAGTGGTAGAGAGCTTGCCTAGCATACACAAGGCCCTGGGTCTGATCTCCAGTACCAGAAAAAAATAAACAAAAACCAAAAACATAACTTTAAAACAAAACAAAGGACATATTGGAATTAAGTGGACCCATGTAGTTCTCTGGGGTGGGGATGGGGGAGTCTCTGGCCAGTGAACAGGTTACAGCCTTGAAAATGTTTATCTGAAGATAAATAAACTCTTTTGTCAGGTCATCCATATCAMATCCTAGTTCTGGTCAGCAGGAGTTAGCCCTGGGTTTTATGCCTTCTGAGCACTCTCAGGAGAAGACTGAGAGTCACAGCCAAGGGCCCCACTAAGTGTTACCAGGACCTGGTGACCTGGCAAAGTCCATACAGGCCAGAGGAGTCCCTGTGCTTGCTGAGTACCCAATGCAGGCCAAACGAGACATATCCCTGACTTCATGGGGAGGTGGGGTGTGTGTCTGGGGTGGGGAGCACAATAAAGTAGATGATATGGCTGACTCAAAGATAGTAAATGCTAGGAAAAAAGGTTAGCTAGGAGTGTTGGGGACTGGAGGAGCAGGTACAAATTCTAGTAAGGGAATTGGGGAAGGCCCCACCAAGTAGGTGACATTAAAGCTAGACTCTAAGAAGATGAAGGTCAGACAGCAAGTCAAAAGGCCAGAAGCAGGATGACACTGGTGTGTCCAAGGAACACCTTAAGCTGAGTAAGAAGTAAACCCTGAATCAGACGTTGCAGGGGTGGGGAGGAGTAGGTTGGGACGGTGCCTTGCTGTGAATTCACCAGTGCACTGGAGGTAGCATGGAGAGGAAAAAGAAAAGTACAGGATGACATCAGGGTTTTTCAGCCTGAGCAACTAGAAAGTCAGAGGAGCCATTTACATCTTTTTTTTTTTTTTTTTTTAAAGAGAGAGAGAGAGAGAGAGAGAGAGAGAGAGAGAGAGAGAGAGAGAGAGAGAGAGAGATAATTTTCAATATTTATTTTTTAGTTCAAGGCGGACACAACATCTTTGTTGGTATGTGGTGCTGAGGATCGAACCCGGGTCGCACGCATGCCAGGMGAGCGCGCAACCGCTTGAGCCACATCCCCAGCCCCGCCATTTACATCTTGCTGGGCAAAGTATGGTCTTGAGTAGTGGGCATATTAGGGCTCAGATGGGCAGCTGAGTGGACACTGGCTACTGCTTATGTAGTAGTATCTGCAAGTATACAGGGTCTAGATTCAAAGTCAATCTCCTAAAGATAAAGGAAGACCGCTAATGGATTGCTCAAAGACTAAGTCATGGGCACACCAGCATTTATAGACAGTGGGAAGAGGAGGAAGATGGTGAGTGTGGAAATCAAAAGGTGATCAACAATGTCAAAAGGTTCCAACAGACCAGGGAAGGCTTGGGCTAAGAATGGTGGACTTCTCACTCAAACCACTCACCAGACAGGTCTCCAGTGCCAGCTGAGGCTCCAAAATAGTAGCCGGTGGGTAGACGTACTCCCGTGATATCAATGCAATTTTTCCACTCATTCTTGTCCTCCAAGTCAGTCATCACCTGTGGCCAGCCAACATGTCAAATACACCTGCAGGCCCAAGCTTGCCATTTCCCCAGCCTCTAGAGAACCAGCAAAGACCCAGCCAGCCTCCTCCCTCACACCTGCTCACCGTCAGACGGCCCCGGGAATAGCGCACAGCCAGGAAGGTATCATGGTCCCGGTTGCGAAAATCGGCCGTGCAACCTGCCAGCTCAGTCCAGCGTCCATCTTTGCTATGGTCATAGGAGAGGGAGCCATTGTTCACCATCACTGAGATGTACGGGAACACACGCTGGAACCAAGACACCAGTTAGTTCGCTACTATCCCTTCTTCAGGAGGAAGCAGGCACACCCACCATCCCAACCCCCGGAGGCTGCTTTTGTGCCAGGACCAGGGAGAAATCCCAGTCCCCACCCTCTAGCCAGCTATCTAGTCCTTGCTTTCCTGCTCCACAGGAGAGAACAGGGCCCTACCTCAGTGGTCTCATCATTGGGGTATGTGTCCAGAAAGATGGCTAAGCCGTGGAAGTTGTCTTTGCTTCCAAACACAGGTCCTGGAATAATAAGGAGATACTCACACAATGGGAAAAACTGGAGATGTCCCCATGGGTAGCTCAAAGGCAATATGTATAAGAGGCGGGACAGCCCAACTCTGGTCATTCATGCAGGAGACAAGGGAATTCCTAAGGATGAAGCTGAGGTAGGGGGCAAGGAGGGACTCAAGTGTAACAGAGAGGACTCAAGTTTGGAGCCTGAACTATTAGGGGACAGCCCTGGCCATGTGCTGTGAGGTGTCAAAGGGTTACCCAGTCTAGGAAAAATGGGAGAAGCCACAAAGGACCCTCTCAAACCAGGGTAGCACATTTTCTATAAAGGGTCACACAGGAAACCTTTACAGCCTTGAGGTCTATATACAGTCTCTGCTGGATGGCCTTCATATTCTAGCACTTAAAGGGCAGTACAGGGTAGAAGATCCTTGGACCCAGAAACCCAGGCAACTTCCTGCCTTGCCCACCCTGACCTCCCTAGTGGGCCAGCAGCCATGGGGCACCCACCCTCCAGGACCCAGTGGGGCCACCTGAGCAAGCACTGCCCTACCTGGTACAAGGCGGTCCCGGGTGTACCACAAGGCGATGCCATCTCCATGGAGATTCTTCTTCCCTGTGCCATGGACTTTGAAGTGGACGTGCATCTCCCAGTCTTTGAGGAAGCAAGGCTGGATGTGGGGTGGGAGACAGATAGCACTGCTCAAGAGATCCCCAGGATGTTTGAACAAGTTAGAGGCAATCCTGGCACAAACACTGCCCCACAGAACTATCTTCTTGCCTCTATCAAGACTTGGTACTTGGGGCTGGGGATGTGGCTCAAGCGGTAGCACGCTCGCCTGGCATGCGTGCGGCCCGGGTTCGATCCTCAGCACCACATACCAACAAAGATGTTGTGTCCGCCGAGAACTAAAAAATAAATATTAAAAATTTCTCTCTTAAAAAAAAAAAAAAAAAAAAAAAAAAAAGACTTGGTACTTACTCATAAGCACAGAGCTAGGTGGCAGGATCACAATTGTCACTGACCCTGGACTCCCAAGCATTTTCAGAAGGAAGGGAAGGGATTGCTGGGCCCCTACATGAGAAGAGGTAGGCCATGCAGTGTCCCAAGGCTGCCAGAGGCCCTCCTCTGCCTTGCCAGGCCTGTTCTCATCCTGGCCTCAACACCAGCCAAATCCCCTAGTCTGTTCCACCTCCATTCCCACTGTTCCTGCCCTGGGATCTTGAAAAAGGGTTATTACCCCTATCTGAGGTATGTATTTTAAATAAACAAAAACGTGTTTTGGGGCAAAATAACTCATACTCAACAGATGTGAAGACAGTCTTGATACATACCCAGCTCTATTTGACCCCAAAACTTCTGCTGTCTTCTATACTTCCTACAGCCTTCAGGCCTTTAACATAAATCACACCAGCTACTTTCTGCCACCCCCTCACTCCCACCCCGACTCTTCTGTTCTAACCAACCTTCCAAAGTGAAGAAAATCAGGCTGAGTGAGTGCCCAAAGGACTCGAACCTAAGTCTGACTGACTACAAAGCCCAACTCCTGGCCAGGACACCTGCCAACCAGGCCCAGCTTAAATGAGGTACCAGTATCAGTGCTGAAGCCTGATTAGGGAGGTGCTCTGGGTCCTTTTAGCGACCATACGAGAAGCAAATGCTCTCTGACAGTCATGGACATCAAGAACAGAGCTGAGCACTGCCTACAGCAAGAGGAACAGCCTGCCAAGAAGCTGCTCATGAAAACTAAGGTGTCAACAACTACTATGAGAAGGAAAAACTTTGCAGAAGTCAGAGATGTGTATATAAGCACATGATTTAAAAAACAAACAAAACAGTCAGAAAGGCAAACCCAAAAAAAGATATGGTTAACCTATCAGATTGGCAGGTATTAAAAACATTATTATATAATGCAGATGAGGATGCAGAGAAACACACACTCTCAAGCAACAGGTGTGACTGTAAATGTAAATGGTCCTGTCTTCTTAGGGGCAATTTGGCTACAGCTTTTTAACAGAACAAGGGAGACCCCAGTAGTACTTATCACTTAATGATATCAATGATACTAAAAAAGAGGCTGGGAATGTAGCTCAGTGGTAGAGTGCCTGCCAAGCATGCACGAGGCCCAAAGTTCCTGCAAACAACATCAATGATCTGCTCCCATTTGGGGGTGGGGGGTTAAGAAAAAATGTAAAGCATTAACTGATATTAATGACAGGTAATTCTGAGAACTGTGGGGAATATTTACTTTATATATTTTAAGGTATAGATGGACACAACACAATGCCTTTATTTTTATATGGTGCTGAGGATTGAACCCGGATCCCACCGGTGCTAAGCAAGCGCTCTACTGCTGAGCCACAATCCTAGCCCTAGGGAATGTTTACTTTCTATCTTTGAATATCATACAAATGAATATTGCTTCTGTAACCAGAAAAAACTCAAATCAAAAATAAAAAACAGGCCGGGCACAGTGGTGTACACCTGTAATCCCAGCATCTTTCGAGGCTGAGGCAGGAGGATTGTAAGGTCAAAGCCAGCCTCAGCAACAGCAAGGTGCTAAGCAACTCAGTGAGACCCTGTCTCTAAATAAAATACAAAATAGGGCTGGGGATGTGGCTCAGTGGTTGAGCGCCCTGAGTTCAATCCCTGGTACCCATAAATATAGATAGATAGACAGATAGATAACAGGGCTGGGTTTGTAGCTCAGTGGTARAGTGCTTGCCTAGCATGTGTGAGGAACTGGGTTCAATTCTCAGCACTGCATATAAATAAATAAACGTCCATCAACAACTAAGAATAAATAAAATAAAGTAAAAAAGTTTGTCTCAGTGTAGGCAATCTAGTTTGTGCATTCTTCAATTTGCCAGATTCAATGTTCTATTTTGGGGTACCAGGAACCCAAATGATAAGATCCAGTCTGGTCTCTGAAAGCATGAAACTAATCAGGACCCACATGGCAACTCACAATGAGTTTAAAACTTCAGATCCTCTCTTGTTTGGGACAGTTCACTAGTTTGGAAACATCAGCAGAATGTGAAGGGGATACTGAGAGGTGATGAGAACTAGCTCTCAAGGATAGGGGACAAGGAATCTGAGTCCACTGCTTGCTGAAGACTATGGAGGCCTTGCTTCRAGTTGGGTTTGCACAAAGACTGAAACCCAAAAGTAAGGGTACAGTAGAAAGGCCCTTGGGGATTCAGCTCAGCTTTGAATCCTCTCCATCCCAAAAATTAGACTAAGGTGACTCTGGCCTCAAATTTTTCAACAATTATACAAGTGCAATATCTGTTATACGATCATAAATAACTGGTATACAAAGAGTTGAGATCAAATAAAAACCAGAGAAAGAAAAAGAAAATAAGCCAACAAGAAGTCCAGATATGGGACTGGGTTGTGGCTCAATGGTGGAGCGCTTGCCTACCATGTGAGGCACTGGGTTTCATTCTCAGCACCACATAAAAATAAATAAAATAAAGGTATTGGGTCCATCTACAACTAAAAAAACAATACAATAACATAATGGGTGAGTTTAATAACAGATTTAAAATAGTTAAAGGGAGGCCAGGTGCAGTGGCACATGCCTATAATCCCAGTTGCTTTGGAGGCTGAAGCAGAAAGATTGAGAGTTCAAARCCAGCCTTAGCAAAAGCAAGGGCCTAAGCAACTCAGTGAGACCCTGTGGTCTAAGTAAAATACAAAATAGGGCTGAGGATGTGGCTAATCCCTGGTACCCAAATAAATAGTTAAAGGGAGAATTTGTGAACTCGAGGTCATTTAATAAAAATATCCAGAATGAGGGCTGGGGCTATAACTCAGTGACAGAGCACTTGCCTAGCATGTGTGAGGCACTGGGTTCGGTCCTCAGCACCACATAAAAAAGTAAATTAATTAAATAAAGGCATGCCATCCATCTACAATTATAAAAAAGATTTATATACATTATGTAATACATATATATATATACATACATATATATATATATATATATGTATGTGTGTGTGTGTGTTTTAGTTGTGGATGAACCTTTATTTATTTTTATACGGTGCTAAGAATCAAACCCAATGCCCCACACATGCGAGTGTGCACACACACACACACAAATCTATAAACCAAAGGAGATGAAAGAAAACCTTATGCTATGTTTTGGATAACATTTGACTGTATCTCCCAAAGACCCATGTATTAGCAGCTTGGTCTTCAGTATGGTGATCATTAAGAGGTGGTAGGATCTTTAAGTTGGTCCTTGGTAGGTTATTACTGGCTTCTCCATGTCTCTGCACATCATCTCGTCCTTTCATAGGTACTCCATCAGTGATGCTATTTGTTATGAGTTGATGTAGCCAGCATCAGCATCATGCTATCTGGACTTGTAGGCTCTTGAACATCAAACTAAATAAACCTATTTTTCTTTATGAAAATTATCCAGCCCCAGGTATTTCATTATAGTAACAGACAACAGATTAACACACCATACCTACACAAACACACACACACAGAGAAAGAGTGAGAGAGAAGAGAAAAAAAAAATTTTAAACGGAGGGAGGGGGCTGGGGTTGTAGCTCAGGGGTAGATTGTTCGCCTAGCATGTGGGAGGCCTTGGGTTCAATCCTCAGCACCACATAAAAATAAATAAATAAATAAAGGTATTGTGTTCATCTACAACTAAAAGAATGAAAGGAAAATTAAGACATTTTCAGACAAAACAAAAACAAATTAAAAGAATTCATTATCAGTGGACACAATTATTACCTTTCATTCTTTGTGAAGATGGAAAATGATCAAAATATAAGAGTTCAGGAATGAAGAACAACAAAGAAAAAATATGAAGGTAAAAAATCTACATAAATATTTGAGTAAAACAATTTAAAACAGAAAGCATTAAAATAAATGACAGCAATAGGGTAAAGAGAGTTTAAAGTATCTTAAGAACCTTGCATTATTCAAGAAGGTGGTTAAAGTACACATTATTTTTAAGTCTTTGGTAAACATGGACACATATTTTAAACTCTACAATAACCACTATAAAATTGCAAAAAGAACATATAACTTTTAAGCTAACAAAAAAAAATTAGAACAATAAAAATTAATCCTAAGGAAATCAAGACCAGGGAGAATAATGAACAGTGTTCAAGTAAAACAAATAGAAGGTAAACTGTAACAGCCAAATTATATTGTTATTTTATGTGCATGTATAAATATGTAACAAAAAATCCCAACATTATGTATAACTACAATGCACCAGTTTAAAAAAATGGGGAGGGGCTGGGTTTGTGGCTGAGACTCAAGAGTTAGAGTGCTTGCCTCGCATGTGTGAGGCACTGGGTTGGATTCTCAGCACCACATAAAAATAAACAAACAAAATAAAGGTATTATGTCCACCTTTGACATATATATATATATATATATATATATACACACACACACACACACACACACACACACACACACATATATATAAAATGGGGGAAAAAAAGAAAGGTAAATAGACAGGAGATCAAACTCAAGTGTGCAGGTAATTATATGTAAATGAACTAAATATTAGATTAAAAAACAAAACATAAGGGCCCCTAGGACCTTTCTATACTACTTCTTACAATGGTGCATGAATCTACAACTAATTCAAAATTAAAGGTTAAACTTAAAAATTAAATAAAGGTATTGTGTCAT